TATTGAACCCGAAGTCCGAATCTGTCAATATCTTTCTAACTTTACCTAAGTGGCACGGTTACCATATTATTTTCTTTTAACATGCCTTTTCTATTCAGTTTGATTCTGGTAAATCATAATTCTACTGGACTTTGGTCACTGTTGTCTGAGCTGCAGCTTTCAACACACAACCTTTAAACTGTGCAAAGAAAAGATTACGCAATAAAATGTTTGAAACTTTAAAGGTGTAGTTTCTGTGTAGATGCAGGCATCACACATGTGTACTTGCTCCACTTAATAATGATGTTATGAGGATTATTCCAGACTATTTATGAGTCACATCTCCAATTCTACACACAAGGGAGAATAAAGCAGTGAAGTAGGAAAATACAAACTAATGTGGAAAGGAACTATTACTTTCAATATCGATTAATCTGCAGAATAATTTCTTGATTAATTTAATAACACATTTTGAAAAAATACAATTATAATATCCCAGAGCAAAATGCTAACTATTTGAGTACTATCACATTCTGTCCAATGTGGCATTTGAACAGACACTGATTTGACTTTATAAGAAGAATACACATAAACCAAGGGGGCAAATGTTTTGGCCCAAGAAACACCTGAAAAAATATCAATGTTAGATCATCTTCCTATCTTCTTCCTTGAGTGTCCGTCCTGTGAACAGTCATGAAGAGTCTTCTCTGTCGCAGGAAGTTGGACCTCCCGACATGTGCTGTGAGCGCTGCCTCTGAGCGGGACTTTGAGCTGAAGGGTTACAGGTTTGAAGCTGCACAGGAACAACTGAGGCCGCCCAGAAGGATCCGCGTGGGCCTTATTCAGAACCGCATCGTCCTGCCCACCGATGCCCCCATCCTGGACCAGGTCAGGACTCGGGACACATGTTATTAAACAGGCCAGAGACAGACAGGATGCCGTACATTTGATAGTATTTCCTCTTGAAGCCGTTGATGTAGAAGTCACTGGTGTAAACCCTCTGGTTGTCTCCTCCACAGATCAATGCCATGCACAGCCGTATTGGTGAGATGGTTGAAGTGGCAGCCATGTGCGGTGTAAACATTGTCTGCTTCCAGGAGACCTGGAGTGAGTGCTTTCATGGGTCACAACTACACATTTCATAAAAGCCAGTAAAAAAAAAAAAAATAAAGACTAACCTGTCGTTTGCCGTCCACAGCCATGCCCTTTGCTTTCTGCACCCGCGAGAAAGAACCATGGACGGAGTTTGCGGAGTCTGCCGAAGAAGGAAACACCACGCGCTTCTGCCAAGAGGTGAGATTACAGATGTCTGCCACATGTGCCATGATATGCTTCGCTGCAGTGGCCTAATAAACACTGCGATTCTGTCATTAGCTGGCCAAAAAATACAACATGGTAGTCGTCTCTCCAATCCTGGAGCGAGAGGGGCTGCACAGCACTCTGTGGAACACAGCGGTGGTGATCTCCAACTCTGGAAATGTGCTGGGAAAGAGCAGGAAGAACCACATTCCCAGGATTGGAGACTTTAATGAGGTCAGTGAGGGGTTTCCGTAACTTGCCCTTGTGTGAAATTAGGCAAACTGCTCTGTTCACTGTGTTTCTTTTACACCCAGTCTACATATTATATGGAGGGCGACACTGGCCATACAGTGTTCCAGACACAGTTTGGGAACATTGCTGTGAATATCTGCTATGGCCGCCATCACCCTCTCAACTGGTTCATGTACAGCATGAATGGAGCGGAGATCATCTTCAACCCCTCAGCTACTGTTGGAGCTCTCAGGTGAGGAGCAAAATAGAGTTAGTATTATTGGGAATACACAACATGTAATTAATATTGTCAATATTTGGCATTAGTTGTACATATTCCCTTAATTCCCCCAAAAAAACTAGACTTATTGCTGTTGGTATATCCCGTACTAACGTTGTCGTTGTATATCGTTTTATATACATTAAGAATAATGTGTTTTTCTTTTGCCTACAGTGAGCCCATGTGGTCTATCGAGGCCAGGAATGCAGCAATAGCTAACCACTGTTTCACTTGTGCAATCAACCGTGTTGGGACGGTGAGTCGGTCTCTGTAACTGCAGTCAGTCTGTATTCACAGACGCAGGGCTTTCACACTCAAGAGCAGGGCCGTAGTCGGGTTTTAGACGTACTCAATCCTACTTGTGGCTTTTGTTTTATGGATTAAAAAGTGTTCTTTTTTCATCTGGTTTGGTTAGAAAACATTCATAATTTTCAAGCATTTAAAAAAAACAAAACTGAAAGCATTTATTCTTCAGTGATTTATTATCCTGAAGTTACAAAGCAGTAGGTTGCAAAACCTTCCACGTCCCTGAAACATGACCTCAGTATCAGTGGTAGCTTTGGCCCTCCACTCAGCGGCTGAACAGTCTCTGTTGGAAGCTTGTGTGACTTTCTGTGCATTCTTGTATTTCACACAGGAACATTTCAAAAGTGAATTCACATCTGGTGATGGAAAAAAAGGTAAGAGATTGATTTCCTGGAATTGAGAAACTTTAATTTAGCTTCCTTAACATGTACATTTACATTAATAAGTGTATTCTTAAGGACAACCTAAATGTTTTGTAATGTCGCAGTCTTTATGTTATCTATATCTATATCTATATATCTATATCTATATCTATATATATATATCTATCTATCTATCTATCTATCTATCTATCTATCTATCTAGATATAGATATAGATATCTATCTATATATACAGTGAATAGCTGTTTATTATTATGAATGAACTGAATTATTTCAGTTGCAGTGACAGACAGATCTTCTGACTTCTGCAGCTCACCATGACTTTGGACACTTCTATGGATCCAGTTACGTGGCTGCTCCTGACGGCAGCCGCAGCCCGGGTCTCTCCAGGACCCGTGACGGACTGCTAGTTGTAGAAATGGATCTCAACCTGAACAGACAAATCAGCGACAAATGGAGTTTTAAGGTAAATATAACTGGGAACAGCATTTGATGCCTCCCTGTAGGTCTCACTTTGACCTACTTTAAAAAAGGATGCGTGTGTGTATTTGTTCCTGCAGTGATTGAAGGCTTGTACTTGCTTAAGTAATGTGAGCTCCATTGTGGTAAATACAATCTATTCTCCTGATGTACTGTTACTCTACCTGTGTACTGTGCTTTTCTTTGCAGATGACTGGGCGGTATTCTGAGTATGCAGAGGAACTTACCAAGACTGTGAGACATGACTTCAAACCCAACATTGTGAAAGAGTAGATAATATTCCACTATAGGAGAGGTAGCCCGTGTGCCTTTAAAAAAAAAAAAAAAAAAAGTTGCTCACAATGTCTGTGTCAAACAAAACTGCCATAAAGTTATTATATATTGCTAAAATAACAAATCTAAATTTGTTAATTTCCTAACTACCAATATCCATTTATTTTAGAAGATGAGCCTTTTTAATGCCAGTTTGTTTACATAATGCCACGGTTGATTTTATTTAAAAAACACAAACATAATTTTCTGTATACAGTCTGGGATATGTCAATGATTAGAAATGGCATTTTTGTGCAGTCAGATTAAAAACCTCCCACATGTTACTTTAGAGGACTAAAACTGCAATAAAATATCAGAATCATACTGGTGTACTTTATTGATTCCCGGGGATTAGGGAAGTTGGCAAACTACCAAATATTCGTTCATTTTCTGAATTTTCAGTTTAACACTATGTTGCTGTTGTAAAAAATAAAACCACAAAGATGTAATTATTTCCTGCATTTTAATGTTTTTGTGCAGGAAAATAGCATGTATTTGCCCCAGCAAATATGAGGAAAATGGCTAAAGTAGTAGACTCAAATTTTGAAGCCGTAGCTCTAGATCGAAGGCCTGATGTAATCGAATGCATGATTTTATGCTGTAATGGGATCAAAAATGTTTTTTTATGGGTTTCATTGGGGACATTTTTGTCATTTTTTTAAAAGGTCTGAGTGTCTTTACTTTGGCTATATAGTGTATTATCGACTTATTATTGGACCTGAGGTTGAACTTCTAAAATTTAAAAAAAATTCACAACCATGGAAAATTCAAGGCATATGCATTATAACAGCCAGAATGATCTAAAAAAAATGTCCCAAAATGTCCCTAGTGAGACTCAAAATGTAAAACAAAGTTCAGTTCTTTTCTATTCATATTTGTCTGTCTGTCAGATTGGTTTCATTCTGTTGGTTCCATCACTTTATCACAGGAAAGTGAAACCAGTGTTCTAAATAACTGGATAACTAACTTACCTTCATTTCATCCTTGATGATTTGACAAGGCCGATGATTTTTCTGTTGTCTTAAAACTTATCTATAGTTGTAAACAGAGAAATAAGTAAAGCGAGACCATGTAACTGCTGCTGAACAGCGGCCGCTGCAGCCGCTTAATGCTAAGAGTCACAAAGTCAGTGAACTGACTCGGTTACACATTAACCGCTAACATTAGCCACTAACATTAGCCACTGTAAGCAAGAGGGCAAACAGACCATGTGAGGCAGTAGTGACTGAGTGTATTGAATTGAAGATTGCTATATTGCTTATGAATTTAAACATTTTAATCTGTGAGATGAACAATTTGTTTTAAGAATAAAATGAGTCTTTGCGCTCAAATCTGCACGACTCCGAGACCTTTTTAAGATGAATCACACACCAACTCCTTCTCAGTGCGAGACATCCTTTATCTTTCTTAAGAGGCACCAGTAGAAAGATGTTGGGATGGGATTTATTTAAAAGCTGCATTTCAAATTGTATTTTGTATAACCTAACCTTTTATATAACTTAAACCAGATATAATTTAAGGTGCAGGTTTCTCATTAAATACTCCAGCAAAACAAAGATGGAGCACGTGTTCAAATCCTTCTTTAATCACAACTTATAATAAATGCAGCTCTGTTTTAATAAAAAATAACATCTGAGGTTTAAAACATGCCGTTTATTCTTACCGAAAAAGCACAACCAGGAAGAAATCACTTATCGGTTCAAGAACAGCAATTTCATGATTTATTTAAATAACACATAATGTCTGGTTTGGAAAGTGTAGTGCAAAAAACATACTCGTAATACCAAAATGACAAAATAAAACTTAAGTGACAACGAGGAACGGTCTTCACCACTTTCAACTTAGGACACGAGTCAAAGATCCACCACCTTGTTCTGCCGCACAGTCGGAACAACCGAACAATGTCTCCGCCTGTCAGCATGTTGGGCTGCTCTTTCTCTATTGAAATGAATCAATCTGGTGAGTACATGTTTCAGTATGTCCACGTCCTCCTGCAGGCGGATTGAGTTCCACAGACATTATGGGGTATTGCATTGCACTATCTGTGGATGATGTCACACTTTAGGGCATTAACTACCTGAGACTCTCAAAGCACAACTACTTCCTGTATTCCCTGTTGATAGAATCAGAATAAAAACGTGATGAGGTGAGTTTGGAGGATTTATCTTTTTTAAAAGGCAAGTGGAGGTGAGGCTGTTGATGAGTCTCTTCAGGACTTCAACACTGAAAAGCACAAATAAATTGTTTATAATAAATGTTTTAAGCCCTGAATTATGTGCACACTATTTCCAGGTATGTCTTCTTCTGTCACAATTCCCACATTTCATCCACTGTAGTTCCACAAGTCTGAAACACTCTGCTCACAGCTTGAGATTTCAATAGCTCATATTTGAGTCATTCAAATTCAACAAAGACGCAATAAAAATCCATTTGGTCTATCTGCTAATCCCCCCCCAAAAAAAAGAGAATACAAAAATAAATTGAACTTAGATTTGTGAAACTCCCAGCTGTTAGTCCTGCAGTGGTCGAGTGGTGGTGGTGGCTTTACAAGAGCGGTGGATCTGCAGCAGTCATGTGAGCAGTTGGGCTTCTTAGCACCGGAGAGGAAGGCCCCGGGGGGGATCTGCGATAGCAGGGAGGACCGCTAGTCCGAGACTGTGGACCTGCAGCATCAGGTCACTACAACGATGCGCTGAGGAAGAGTGAAATCCAAACCCATCATCGCTGTCAATCAACTCTCCTTAAAGACCAGCAGGATGTCCTCGTCTGTCCCGTAGCTCCGCCGAGCCTCCTCGAAGTTACCGATGCTGGTGCAGCACACCCCTGAACACACACACACACACACACACACTGGTCAGCTCCAAACTTAAGACATAACTTATTACTACAGTGGCAGTAAATAAATGTTTTCTTATTCAAATACACTTTTGCTTTGGCCATATGAGATCACTCACGGTCAGAATACGCTGGGTTGTTGTAGAAAACGCAGCCGGTGGTCCTGTTGAAGCCGCATACTACGACAAAGTGACCCTGGTACTCCGGCTTCCTGCAGAAACACTTCTGGCCCACAGGCAGGAAGCAGCAGTATTTGACAGGCGAGGAGCAGAGTTCACATGTCAAGACGACGGCATTAACCAACACTATGGCAACGTGGCCCTGCTCCAGATGAGACTGGATTTCCTGAACCGTCACAGAGCTGTGAGGAGACATCCACAAACACACGTCAGACTCAGGTGTTAGGTTTGCTTTGTCTCAGGCAATAGCTGGTGGCTTGTACACGTGAATAAAACCCCCCAGAAAACTCACCATTTGTTCACCACCACACCTTTGCTGTCTGCGTTAAGGAAAAGCTCATTCACTCTGTCTTCTTCTGTATCAAAGTGTTTCTTATAGAAGGACTGCAAACCACACCAAAAGACAACAGAGACCCCGTCAACATACACAGAAAACTAGAAATCTGGTTTGGACAGTACTGACAGCTTAGATAGGGGCAAAGTACCTGATTCCTAAAGCTCTTATCAACACCCAGAGTCTGGGTGCAAAAGCAGTGTTTGATTCCTAGATGGCACATGAGGTAGGCCAGGTCAATAGTCCACACACTCTCCGTCAGCTTGAGCTCCCAGCATGCTCTCTGAAACTCCTCATCGCTGACTGGATGGAGGTACCTGCAAGATCGGACAGTTAAGAGACTGTGGGTCAACTGTAGTGCAATGGTGTTAAACATTTCACTTTGACTATAATGTGTATGCAGAACACCTTTTGGCAGACTTCATAACATTATGCAAACATGATTCACATTATGTTTTTTGGATTTTTTTTAGAAGTTAACGACTTTGTTGTGCACTTACTTGAGGACCATCCTGGAGCAGGCTAACCCACAGTCCCAGTGGTAGAGCTGCCGAATGACAGGGACATCCAGCAAGACGGCATCCTCTGAGAAAACCCCGCGGTGTTAATCATTAGTTCGTGATTAAACAAAACTGTCAGAAAAGCAACGTTAGGCTAGCTCGGTCCGTGTGTATGAAGTGGTTGATATGGTGTCACTCACCTGTCATTCTGTTGTATTCTTTCTTACTAGCTAACTCGAGACGAGCCGGTCAGTCTTGCTCACAGCATATTTATCCAGGGTTGGGTTTCTTCATGGATGCTAACGAGCAGAAACCGGGCTGCCCAACTGCCAGTTTAAACGTTAGCTGTCAGGCTAACAGTAGGAACTGGTCAGTTGGCCGGTTAGCTGCATAAATAGCGAGGCTAGCTCCGCGACACGCGCCACTGCAGCACATACACTTATTAGTTAACTAAACAAATAAAGGGTACAAGGGGACAATTTGTATTTTTTTAGCAAGTTTTTTAGGTCGGTGCCTCTTTCTAAAATGCTGCTCTGCTTGACTTCTCTGTTGTTTGCTAGCATACTGAGAAGCTTCTTCTCTGTGGTCATGTTGTCACTTACAGTGATGCTGCCACCGTGCGGTGCGGGGGACTCATCTTTAAAATGATTAATTAAAAAAATAAATATATATATATATACCTTTTCTTTAGATTTAGACATTTAATCAGTTTTATTGAAGAATTCAAATAATTATGAAGGTATCTGTTTTTTCATTATAAGTTTAACAATCACAAATTAGCCTCAGAGGGCTTTACAGTCTGTACAGCATACAGCATCCTCTGTTATTGGACCCTCGGAAAATGTTCAGGTGAGCGAGCTACTGGGTTCCGTAGCTGGTTCCCATCGACACCTGTGTTGTAAAAAGATAAATAAAAAGATTGATTGTACAACTCGCCAAAATTATTGTAAGCAGTGAGGAATGTAAAATGTGAAACTAAAGGATCGGTCACTTACTGATTCAGTGACAGCGTCCTCATTTAGATATGTGACTTTATGTCTGCTATAAAGATCTCTTTTTCTCACGCATGTCAACATAAACCAGTCAGCAACCATGGGAACCTGCAGGAAAACAAACAAATCCTGTGTATTATTGCTTCTTTTTTTTCTTTTTTTCTAGAAAAGTGCATTTCATTTAACGCATCACGTAAAGTGCAGGACTGAAACTGTCTACTCACCAAACTGAGGAATGACAAAGCTGCACCCAAGTTCACTATGGTTGGTACAATTCCAAATTTCCCTGCCTGTGAGATAAAAGAACATCCCAGGTGTTGTTAAAGCAGAGAGAACAGACATTAAGTCATTGCAATTTAAAGATGTAATCTGGCCTCACAGTTCCAAATACAACGACGTCAAACCGGATCCCGTATGCTTTGATTAAGGTTCTTGTTTCCTCTCCATCTTGGGTCTTGTAGTATTTTGCAAACCTAAAACCAGTGTTTGTTTTTTTCAATCCATTTTTTTCTGATGAAAAATCACAAGCGTTTGTTAAAAAATGGTTTCACCTGAAGTTGTATCCAGGAGCCACATTGTTGACAGGATGTTTGCTGTCCAGCCGGCGGAAGCTGTACTTGGGGTAACATTTCCTTGCCCACAAGTCCAGGTCACAGCTCCAGTCAATAATAATACCGACGATACCACCCTTTATAAACAACAAATATAACTTTGACACTTTAATCAGTTATATAACTGAAATCTAAGGGAGAAAAGAGATAAGAAAGTGTGGAGGGGAATCATATTAAATTGTGTGCATGTACCTTTACAGCCATGTCTTCAAATTCCTCTCCAGCCTCTGAAACAATGTGTTTGAGGCGGAATATGGGGCAGTCAGGGTCTATTGCACGATTGAATTCACACCTCTTCAGGTATGAGGAGTTAACATGTGACAGTATGTTTCTTCTGAGGCAGGAAGAAAGACATATATTTGATATAATGGCACACAATAAAACAGAACATTTGCATATTCTACATTGATAAGAGCCTTTCTGTTACACTCAGAAACACTGACTTGTGGAAGTTGAACTTCGGGTATGTTATGCTGTTTTTGATCAACACAGTGAAGTTCTCTGCTGCAGCCAGCAGTGCATGTCTGTGGGACACAACATGTCAAGCCATATCTACATTATAATTCTTACTTATGAATACTATAACATTGAATATATTCTTACTCGGGCAGCGTAGTGTCTATTTCAAGAGGGCACCATGAGAGCACTTCACAGGTCTGGACAGTCGTGGAATAGTTCTCACACAGCCCTGTCCGTATACCTGAGTGGGAAATCAATGTCAGGTGTTTTTTGCTGTGTGGTATCACATAATTAATAGCTGATGTATTAACACTTATTAATGGGCCTACCATTGCCTCGGGGATCACTGTATCCCTCGATACAGTTACAGTCATCCACACAAGTAGAAGATGGGTTTGGAAGCTGGAGGAGAAATCACCACTGTTAACCTGTCGCCTGATGATGCACCACGGAACGCCACAGGAAGTCTTTCTACCTGTGGCCATCAAACTGTTTAACTCCTCCCCCTTCTTCTGCAGGAAGGACAGCTAAAAAATCTTACACCTACAACAATAATAACCACATCATATGCAATATTATTTTTCATTAATCTATGTGAGAAATAACTTTCTACTACTTTTTCAATATCATTGACAATATTTCTCTCATTATCATGCTCAATATTATATATATATTTTTCCTATTTTAGTTATTTAGCAATCCTTATTGCTATTGTGTTCTATTTTACAATGGTGTCAGTATTATTTCTTTTACACTTAATAATTGTTATTCTATTGTTTGTTTTTGTTTATATTTTTATTCTAATGTTTTTTGCTCTTCTTCTGTTATAATCTTTATGAAAGTGGCACAAGAATTTCCTTCGGGATTGATAAAGTTCTATTTTATCTTATCTGATTTAATCCTGTTAGTATGAGATAAGGTGCACATCTGCATCAGGATGTCTATGTGGTAAAGTTATTAAGCAGGTTGGAGTTTATGTGAGTTGAACAACAACAATGAATCTAAATAATGTGCATTGTGCCCATCATAGCCCTGACCTTAGCTTTTTGGGCTTTTATAAAACATACCATCATTAATGCTTTACCATTGCCTGTTTATTAAATTTTTCCATTTTTCCATCCAATGTGATAAATATCTGGTTACCAAAGTCATCAGGATTTATAGTCTAGGCACCATGAATTTGTACAGCAATCCATCCAATTATTGTTAAGATATTGCCATCTCCAGAGCCACGCCGCTAGCCAAACATTTGCTGGTTCCACCTTTCCAAAAGTGAGGATTACATAATCTAAACTAATCCAACTAAAATGTGTTTTGGTTTTGCATATGGAAACTTGTGATGGAAACTTGTTCTGGCACATTAGGCTAAATTATCAATCGATTTGTTTGACATATTAATCAATAATGAAAGTAATCATTAGTTGCATCCCTAAAAGATCCACTCGTGTTGATGACTCACCTCAGGACAACGTGACTGAGTTTGATGGGGTGTAATAACCATATTGGTTAAAACAAAGAATGAATTATCGCCCTGTTAGACAGAAGTGAAGCACAAACGTCACAAGGCAGTTAAATAGTTTTACTCCCAGTCAAACTGTGTGGATCAGTTTAGCACATTTCCCAGACGATATACATGGAGGATGAGTTGGAATTGAGCGCGTGTGAGATGAAATGTCTGGTTAAATACCTGAGACGGGATAACATAATCCGCCACGTCCCAAAACCGGGGGTCCATGTCAGATGTGTTGGTGAAGGCAAAACCTTTCACTTTGGTGGTGACGCTACTGACGACAGAGTCTGTCTCCTGGTAGGCCTTCTGCACCACACACACATACCTGCGGACGTAGAGCAACACCAGGCAGCTCACTACAACAGCACTTCAAGACTAGATTAGCTTTATGTCCACATGCCCCCCCGCATCATTTGTTACTTACCCCACCACATACAGCACCACCAGAAACTGGATGAACCTGAAGACAAATCCTACCCATAGGTTTGGAATAACCAGTGTTTTTGGTGTTTCATAATCAAACATGTAATGCAGACAGCTCTGGAAGCCACCTGCAGTCTTGCTCATCGCTGCTGCACCACACACCAGTGACGGACTACTGAGCAATAATGATGAGAGAACGTAGCTTATTCAAATCATTGTATTCAAATACATTTTTTGGCATCAGCACGTTTTACATGTAGTGGACATATAGTCGGTTTAAACAAAACACATACAGTAAAGGCTGGACAAAAGCACTTTCCACATCTTCTGCCCGTACTTAAAAAGGGTGAGTGAGAGGTGTTTTTTATATAAGACATATATAAACATGCCAAACTCACAGATTGTTGAAACCACCTATAACTCTATAGTTAACTAATGCATGCACTTTCTACAGTACACGTGATACTTTGTTCATTGTCAGTATTCAACACAGTAACACATGTGAAGCGAAAGGAGTCACTCTGTTGTGTATTACCATTTATTCAGTAGATAACATGTAATAAGGCTGGGGTCAAATAAAAAAATAATTACCTGACACGTGCAATTATATTATTTCATTTTGCGAAAGGTGAATCGGTCAGTTTAACATGCAAAGGTGCACTGCTGTGTTACTCCTCTTTAGTAATCTCTTCGCCGGTCTCAAGATACTCGGAGGACCTACTGCAGCAAACACAATGAACCGTTGTTAAACTCACCTCACATTTACATTTACAGTTTGTGATATAAGATGAATGAAGGAGAAAGGTCGAGAACACCAGTTGTTCCTCCTTCTGTGAGAGGATTTAATGCTTTTCTCTGTTTTATATCAATGTTCACTGAATATTTGGGATTTTTGGACTGTTGGTGAAACAAAACAAGATATTTGAAGACGTCACCTTTCACTCTGAGAAACTGAATATCATTATTTTATGATATTTTATAAGAAGAAAATAATCAATAATGAAAGTAATTGTTAGTTAACTTACAGCCAAAATTCTTGTTTCATATGTAGGACTTTGTAAACAGTTTTAAATAAGTGCTGTATCAAAACATTTACTGTTTGTTTACATTTCTATATTATATTTATTGCAAATCTATTTATCTACATTAAATACATTTTATTTGAAATGAAATAATTAGTGTTGTTCTGTACATAGTCTGAAACTACAACATGTCCTCTCTGTTTACACTGAGCTCTCTCTTTAGAACAGGTTGTGTGGTTGTATCAGATCATTGTGGTCAATGTTGAAAATCTTCCTTCTTTATCACAATATTGTATTTATTTACAGATCTTTTGCTTCAATGTGATATAGTACATTCAAACTTTAGTTTTGGGTAATCCAGTGAACTAAATACTAAAACGTTAGACATTTCTATCCGATTATTTAAGTTTTATTTTTCATATGCATATGTAAATATTTCCTGTTATTTCATGTGCTTGTGTATTTTAAGAGGAAATGTTTTGCAGAAATAAAAGACTTTACAGTATTTCTCACTGTCTTGGAAGAATACTTTGTCAATTAATTTAACACTTTGGTTGTATAACACATGATTTGACGTGGTGATTATTTCCTAAAACAAGTTAAACTGAATCATGAAATGTGTTTTAAAATATTTCTCTAGTCAGAAAATGTTGCAATGTCAATGCATTTTATTATGTTGATTTTGTTTTACACTTTAAAATAAATATTTTTTCACAAGTAACAATTCTCAGGCACTTGTTGTGGAAAGTTGCTGTAAAATCTGATAATCAACAAAACATCACCATCTGCTGGTAATGAAATGAAATATCAGGATAGAAAGTGAAACTTAAAGCTGGTTTCTACGTTGCTGAATGGAGCTGAGAGACGCCATTACAGGGTGGAGTATCTCTACTATAAACATTAAATCAGAAGGATTGTAATCTGTAATTTAAAGAGACACAGATTCGGTGAGTCTTGCTGTTTAAAGATATTCACATATCAGAGCAAATGGCTGAGAAAACCGCTCTTTTTGAAGGTTTCCTGAACTGCCCTGTTTGTTCAGAGACGTTCAGAGATCCTGTGTCTCTGAGCTGCAACCACAGCTTCTGTTCAAGCTGCCTGCAACTATTCTGGAAACAAGTTGAAAACAAAAACTGTCCCATTTGTAAAAGAAGATCCTCAAATGACAGCCCTCGGGAGAATTTTGCACTGAAGGGACTGGCTGACTCGTTTGCTGAGAGACAGAAAACTGGATCATCTGAGACAGAAAAAGGAGAGAAGAAGGTGGAGGTGGTGTGTAGTAAACACGGAGAAGAGGCTAAACTGTTCTGTGAGGACGAGCAGAAAGCTGTGTGTCCTGTCTGTGAGTTTTCTCTCCACCAGAGTCACAAGGTGGTTCCTATAGAACAAGCAGTCAGTGACCTGAAGGACCAGCTGAGATCTGACTTAGAGTCTCTGCAGGACAAGAGGGACAAACACAAGCAAGTGGAGGAAACATACAATGAAATGATTGAACTCTCCAAGAAGCAGCTGTTGTCCACAGAGAGGCAGATCAGAGCAGAGTTCAACAAGCTCCACCAGTTCCTGAAAGAGGAAGAGGAGTCCAGACTGGCAGCTCTGAGGGAGGAAGAGGAGCAGAAGGGGAAGACTATCAGCAGAGAGATGAAGATGATTCAGGAGCAGATCTCCTCTCTGTCAGACAGCATCTCTGCTGTTGAAGAAGACCTGCAGAAACACAACGTGTCATTCCTCAGCAGTTATAAACCCACTCAGACCAGAGCCAGAGCCAGAGTCCAGAGCTCACTGTCAGATCCACAGCTGGTCTCAGGAGCGCTGATAGATGTGGCCAAACACCTGGGCAACCTGTCCTTCCGAGTCTGGGAGAAGATGAAGGACAAGGTCCACTTCAGTCCTGTCATTCTGGACCCAAACACTGCAAACCACTGGCTCTATCTGTCTGATGATCTGATCAGTGTGAGACGTGGAGACACATTCCAGAAGCTTCCTGACAATCCAGAGAGAAACACAGAGTGTGTCATTGTTCTGGGCTCTGAGGGCTTCAGCTCAGGGAAACACAGCTGGGAGGTGGAGGTGGGAGACCATCCTGAGTGGACTTTAGGTTTGATTAAAGAGTCAGTTGACAGGAAGGGAGAGTTACATGTTTCACCAAAATATGGAGTCTGGTGTTTACGTCATCGTAGTGGAAATTACACGAATGGATCTGGTCAGACTGTCAGAATGAAGAAGAGTCTCCAGAGGATCAGAGTCCAGCTGGACTATGACAGGGGGGACGTGTCCTTCTACGACCCTGAAGACATGACTCACATCTACACTCACAGAGACACTTTCACTGAGAAACTCTTCCCATTCTTCAATATTGAAGAAGCTGGTGATGCTGATATCAAAATCTGCCAAACTGATATTTCTCCGTGATGTTCAGGGAGGGTGGTGAGGTCTCAGTGAATTATCAGGATTTTTATAATGGAGGTGTTTCTTTGTTAATAACAGACAATTCCAGTTAGTTCTTTAATTTGATAGTACATGAAGAAAATGTAGTTAAAGAAACATAAGATTTGAATAAACATGTGTTTTTTATGTAAATATGCTGAAAGAACTGGGACCAGTAGATTTCATGTGATCATTTTATTTTCACATTTATCTACAGATTTGTTTTTAATCTTAAGGATGAGCAACAACCTTAACAACCTTATTTCAAATACTCTTTAATTTGATCAGCTTACCTTTTTTATTTTTTACATTTTAGAATCATTCATCTTTCAATTATCACATTATTTTTCAGTAAATATCTTTCTTTATTTACAAAATCATTCAGATTTGTAAATAATTAATTTAAATAAAATATCAAAATGTTACTGTGCATAATGGACCAAACAGCAAATGTTGATGCATTAATTAACCTGTTACTTCCCATTTCAAAAAAATTGTGAAAATGCTAAATAAAAAATAAAAAATCTTCAAATGTGAGCAGATGTGTAGATTGTTTTCTTTATAAATAATGTTTTACAACTAATCATTGTTTATTTTAGTAATATGGATTAGTAAATTGCATGTTTTCTACCTGGTCAGCAAATATTGTGGTCAAAAACATGAATGAGTGACTTCTATCAATACAAAGCTGTGCTGCAGTTTGATGTGTTTGCAAACACAGAAACCGATTGACTTTTCTATTTCAATGATCATTTTTATTGATAACACCGTAACACATTTTCTTGAAGTCATAGAAACACGTGTAGCACGTAAGAGAACAGAGCAATAATCCGAAGAATCAGAGAACAAGAGGATTAATATTATCATACAGAAGAAACCCAAAGAGACAAAAAGAGACAAAGGGAAACTAGAAAGAGCCAACTGCAGAGAAATGATTGAATAAGGTCAGAAACAGAGGGAATGGGAGAAAGAGAGGAAGACCAAGAGAAGACAACTCAGTGCTGTCAGAGCAACGTAGTCACTGTCTGGAGAAAGAAGATGGCGGAGGTTCAGAGTGAACACAGTGGCTCCAGTTGATCTCAGTAATGCTTCATCTGACTAAACAGCTGAGGGGAAGGCAGCAGAGCTCTCAGTGACCTCCAGCCACCAGAGAAGGACCGTTATTGTAGTTTATATGTAGGGCTGCACAATGAATCATCTTCTATCATCATGTCAGCTTTGATCATTCATACACAATCAGGATTTATCAGTCGTTAAGACAGTAAATCTGCATATTTCCCTCTTTTTCAACAGTAGTCACTTTACGCACAAGTAGCCCAAGGAAAGACAATATCCAGCCTCTTTTCAATTCTTTAAGTTGTCAGTGGAAGCATCAGTGATGTTGTTGTGACTCGGACTGGAACACAGAGGAGCATTTGTGACTTTATATGTGGAGGCTGTTCACGTTATGTTCACTTGTATTTCTTCATCATTTATGGAAGTTTTCTGACACTGCATAATAACTGACCGTCCACTCACATAAGATTCAAAGTGTATACAGTGTTGTGTGCATCGTGAGCTCCGTCAAAGACCTCAGGACATTTTGACTGCAAACAAACCACTCATCCTGTCTCTGGACTTACTCCTCCACCTCACAGTCCTGCAGGATGAGCTCTGCTTTCTGGCTGCTGCGTCTCAGGATGGTGGAGACGGCCCTGCAGTCCTCAGCAGTCAGCCTGAGAGTCTCCTTCAGATCCAACTCAACACAGGAGGAGCAGGACAGATCCTGAGCAGGTGGACTGCTGCCCCCTGCTGGGCGTCAGAGGCAGCACAGCTGTGGACAAACCTCAGCAGCAGTTTCCTGTCAACACTGGAGGAAAAATACATCTAAAATTCGCTATGTTTCCTGACAACTTGTACTCTTATTGTTGTAGTTTTCTCCTTCACTTCTATCAGTCACAACAACATAGAGCCCATTAATAGATAAGATCCGGGAACATGGTGACGTCACTGATGAGCCTCCTGATTGATCGAGACACACAAGCGGTCGGATGATCAGACAGGTTGGAAACAAAGCTTCAGGTTTCGAAGAATCAGTTTTAATTTCTTAACACACATTGACTTCCATGAACACAGGACAGATACAATGTCACTTTGGTCCAATAGTACCTTAGATATAAAGTCTGTATAAAAGAACCATTTCAGCTCATATAGACACTTTGGCATCCTGTTCGTCACGGGTGTAGCTTGCCTTCAATAAAATAGTTTTTCAACCCGCCCTCTTTCAAGTTTCCTTTAGTTATGAAGTCCATGATAACACAGGTAAGAAAGAAAGGCTACAGTAGACTGTATATACACACGTGGATATTTTTCATTGGACAACATAGACGCAAAGACATGTTAATTCAGCAATAAATCTCATGAAGTCCAGTCAATATGTTTCGTGTTTCAGTGCTGAATGTTCAAGTACGATATGAAGGAATCTACATAAAATCTAGAAAATAAAATAAAGTGAAACGTAGACCAGGAAAACGTCTTCTGTTTACATTCTCCAGTTAAACCCATCCGGATGAGGCTGACATTATTGGAAACCAGCCATCATGTACGCTCATCTGCCGCTCTTTGACAATGCAAATAACCGGCTCTCTGCTTAGTATAAACTGTGTCCGCTGCTTGAACTGCTAAATGTACGATAACAATGTTCCATCTGAAGGAAAGTCTGCGTCACGGCCATTTAAACTGATGCCATTCAACATACATTACATTACATTACAGTCATTTAGCAGACGCTTTTATCCAACACGACTTACAATTCAGATTCTATCACACCGTAGGCACAGCTACGGGAGCAATTTTGGGGTTAAGTGTCTTGCTCAAGGACACATCAACATGTGACCCGGAGCTGGGGGATCGAACCGCCGATCCTCTGATTGAAGGACGGCCCTGCTCTCCACTTAGCCACAGCCGCCTAACATAGCTGCTAAAAAAGGTCCACAGATTTCATTTGTCCAAAATCAAAGTCGAGCCCCCCGTCGTGCAGGTTGCCCTCGTTTGCGTTGTCGAAGCTGTTCTTCCCGTGGATCTGTTTGAGGTGCTTGCGGAGAACTGGCTTGTGAGCGAAAACCATGTCGCAGTAGTTGCAGCGGTGCGGCTTATCCCCACTGTGCAGGTTTAGGTGATCCAGCAAAGAACACTTTTGGGTGAAGGTCTTGCCACAGATCTTACACTGGAAGGGCTTGATGCCGGCATGGACACGCATATGCCGGTGCAGGTTGCCCTTCTGCGTGAAGGTCTTGCCGCACAGCAGGCACATGAACAGCTTGTGCATCTTGAGGTGGTTGGCGTAGTTTTCCAGCTGGCGAAAGACCCGGGCGCACTTGGGGCACTGGTGGTACCACTGGAGGGGCTTGTCGTAGTTCCTCTGATGCACACTGTGCTTCTCTGCATGAGGGGGACCGGCTACGCCGGGCGGAACCACCATCTCACAGCCACGACTGTCCACAGTGGAGTTGATGAGAGAGTGCTGGGGCTCAGGAGAGTGGAGTGTAGGGGGAGCAGGACTGGTGAGGAGGTTACCAGTGATGGAGCTCTCTGCTACATCAGACACAGACTCCACTTTTACTATAGTGATGTCACTCTCCACCACACCCTGCTTTGGACGTTTGCCTAAGGTCTGAAGAGGGGACGTAGGCTGTACGATCACGTCATCGTCGTCTTGACTGCCGTCGTCCACGTCGCTGCCGTCGTCGCCATTGTTGTCGTCCCCAGCCTGCATCACCTCCTCCTCATCCTGATGAGAAGTTCGAACCTGAGAGCGCTCTTGCTCTCTCTGGGCCTGGGAGGTTAAACCCTCTTTCTTCTCCCTCTTCATACCCACATCCACCTCCAGCTTGCGTGCAGACTGGGGTTTGATGAACTTGCTGAGAGCTTGAGTGCACTGCTCCACAATGTGGCCCATTTGGAGGAAGCTGGCCACTGTCAGGTAATTCACGAGCTCCAGCTCAGGAAACTCCAGCTGACCCGTGTAGCAGGACAGCAGCAGCTGCCGGCCCACCTCCGCCCCCTGGATCATGGAGATCTGGACCTCCCTGGAGTCCTGCTGAAGGATGAACTGGTCCCTCAAGAAAGAGGAGCCAGCCGCAAACACTACCTTGTGACCAGGGACCTCCAGCTGGTTGATGCGCACACTGACATCACAGAAGCGTTTCTGGTGTCGTAAGAGGTTCATCTTCTGCAGCATGGAGTCCCCAAATGTGGAGAAGCGGAACTGCAGGATCACTTGGTTCTGGGCCATAGTGAGCTGAGGGCCAGCGGCAGCAGCGCACCTTTTAAGGACAAATACAGACTGTGTTATCTCTCCTGAACAGCACAACATATACTGTATAGTGCGAGTACTTCAGATGGCAGGTAGGATGGCTAATTAATTAAGTTACCACCACCTGAGTCAATAACAATCATCATGATCTTCATCGAAACAGGCGCGTGCTGCCCTCGTGGATAAGGTGAGACTGAGATCCACACTTTGGTTGAGTGAGCGTGTCTGTTTCATGAGCTAGCTAACGTTAGCTCGTCAGTTGGGCGTTCATCCTCTCAAACACATGGTAAGCACATTGGTGACGTGATGCTAACTGGTTTACCTGCTAGCATCACTGACGAGCAGCGTGTCAGCGACACCATGAACGCTACCGTTAAATTATTGCCTTCCTTTAAGGGGAAATAGGTCACGTTAACCTGGGGTTTAACGATACTCTTTAGGCTGCAGCGAGACAATCGGGTAATCTTGTATAAAGTGACTCTCCATGCCTAACGTTAGTTAATAGCTAGCGTTGTATGTAAACAATCAATCACAATTCGACCGCATATTTCCCTTTGGCCTACTCCACACTTGAGCTGACATCTCAAGCTGTCTGGTAACATGCAACACTGCTGACTAGCTGTCTTTATTACAAAGTTGTTACTTTAACGGACACAGTAATGCGTGTTTTGTACCTGTTAACCCTTCGTAAACAAGCCCGTTAGAGGTGGGTCTTCATCAGCAGGAGTCTGTCGGACCGTCAGAGGAAATGAAGCGCTGTCCCGGATGTAAAACCTATTTAAAGGGCCAGTACAGCCGTACGGGCTCACCTTTCTCATCCTCATCCTCACCTCTCATCCTCACTCTTCACCTCTCATCCTCATCCTCACCTCTCATCCTCACCTCTCATCCTCACTC